GGGTGGTGTTGGAGGCCTGGTGCCCGGTGTTGGCGGTGTCCCAGGCGTGGTGCCCGGTGTTGGCGGTGTCCCTGGCTTGGTGCCCGGTGTCGGCGGTGTCCCAGGAGTTGGAGGTGAAGTTGCGTGATTGGCCCTGTCGTTGGTCCTGTGGGGTTGTGTTCTCCCCGTCTCACAGCCCTGACTCTCTCTCTACTGTGTCCCAAACAGCTGGACTTCCAGCAGGAGCGGCAGCAGCGGCAGCAGCAAAAGCCGCCAAGTACGGTAAGCTGGCTCCCTCCCCCTTCTCCTTCCATGCAGCCCGTAGTGATGGGGTGCCCGCCTGTCACTCCTGGAACCGTGTAGCTCCTGGGGTCCGAGCCCAGAGACCGTCTGTCCCTTTGGGAGCGATCAGCAGAGCCACTGGCCTGTCTGGGAAGTACTCACATCCCTCCCCTCCCCGTTCCCCAGGGAGCTTCGTCCCGTCCTGCATCATGCAGCATAGAGAGCTCCTGCGTTTGGTCCACTGGCGATGGGGAGCAGGGTGGCCAGCAAGCGAGTTGGGAGCCCAGCCCCAGCTACAAGCCAGGCTCCCTGCAGGCAGCAGAGAGTGTGGGGAAGCCTACGACAGTGTGACGGCACAGAGCACGTTCCCCTGTCACTCTGGGCAGGCTGCTATCCCGCGGCTTAGTTTGGAGGGCTGCGGGCAAAGCCGTTTTGGATGTGCCGGTCAGTGAATTCCCAGAGCCCCTCATGATCTTTTCAGCTCCATCATCAGCCTGTGTGAATCCACTTCATACATAACGGCCTCAGTTCCCAGTCCATCAAGCACACGCTGCAGCATGCAAGAAGGCAGAGAAGGGCTATGGGGAAATCCTGGTGTAGGGGGAATCCATGCGGTGCAAGGCTGGCTGAGTTGGCTCTGCTGACCTCAAGCCAGTTCTGCCATCTGGTGCTGGGTGAGGCAGGGGGCGTGCTGGGGGAGAGGAAAGGGGCTGTCAGGTGAAGGAGGGGAGGGGCACTCCGGGTGAGGAAAAGGAGACGTGTGTCAAGGTGTAAGAGAGGAGGGCTGTCAATTGAAGGAGGGGAGGGGTGGTCAGGGGGAGGGGCATGATGGGGTGGAGGAAGGGGTGTCACGTAGGGAGAAGAAGGGTGGTGAGGGCATCTGCTAGAGCTAGATTCTACTACAGATGTTTTCCCACTGGCTGCTGGTACCAGGGGGACCTATCGCCAACAACGTAAATTAACGTTCCCCCCTGCAGTTTAACTTAGTCTGGGGCCGAGTGCTGAGTATCTGGGAGCTACGGCTGGCCCCTGTTGGCCTCCCACTTTGTCTTGGCTCTGGCTGGGCACCATAAAAGATCCACACCTCTCTTTTTTAATATCCACATAGTTGTCTTTGTTACCCAGACTTGTATTCTCCTCACAAGCAATGCCAGACTTGTTTGACATGACCTATTGTCTGTAAGACCATGCTAAATGCCATGCTGCCATCCTTAATACTTTCCTGACTGCATTCCATATCAGCCCTTCCATAACTTTACCCAGGATTGCTGTCAGGCTACCTGGCCTATAGCTACCCAGGTCATCCCACTTTCCCATTTGAATACTGGCACACATCGGTATTTTTCTAGTCTTCTGGGACTTGCCCAGGTTTGAAGATGTATTACATAGAAACATCAACAGCTCTGGG